AATCATGGTTCTGCACTGTGTGGAAAAAAAAAAACCGTCAGCTCGTCTTGATAGAACTCAGCGTACCGTACCGTAGGTGGCTAGTCTGAGGGGCAATAACACAGCATCGAGGTAGGACGCAAGAGGACTTATCTCTACTTCCACATACAATGTGCTAAAGCATCTAGGCTTGCGAGGAAAAGAGCGAAAACGGGTCCTAGAATAACTGGTTGAAGTTATTGAAAGGGCTTCGAGCTGGCTGTGGACACAACGGAAAGTCATGGGGGATCGGCCTCGGTAGACTGGTCCTAGCCCCGAGTGGAAAAAAAGACTTTACATCACTAAAAGCCAAAGTTTCTCTCTGCCAATTGCCAAAGTCTAGCATGTGTCCGACGATTCAACCGTCCATTTGTCACTCTGTTCCTGAAGTTATTCGGCTAATTTGCTACCGCAGAGTCATATATATAACACCATACCTTACAATACCTGTTGCTACCATTTCGTCTCGTCCAATGTCCGATAAGCGCAGCAGAAGAGTCGGAAGCCTGAGAGTTACGACCCATAGGAGGATAATGGACCCAAATAATTGTCGACGAGGGACTCTTTTACTGATAATCGGTAAAGCTCCTGGTGTTCATGCTCCACTGTGGAGTTATTCTTGTTATATTATTACCACACCCACGACGACTTTGACACGTTTCTGTTTGTTCATCACTTGATCTTCTCAGCTCAATCTCTGTCTGTCTGTCTGTCTGTCTGTCTGTCTGTCTGTCTGTCTGTCTGTCTGTCTGTCTGTCTGTCTGTCTGTCTGTCTGTCTGTCTGTCTGTCTGTCTGTCTGTCTGTCTGTCTCTCTGTCTCTCCCTTCTTGTAGCCCACCAGGACATCACAAAAGCGATAAAGACCAGGTGACACAAAGTGCCACCATGCGGATGAGGAGCATCCATGGAGAGGTCCCAGAAACCCCTTTTAGCCGTTAGGCCGTATTTAAGTCCCGGCTATATTCAGGACCTCCGGCAAAAGCCATAAATAAAATAACGAAAAATTGCATCTCACATAGGGACGACTTTTTTATGTTCCCAGCTATAGGGAACATACCTTATGTACACTTGCCTTTCATGTGGACATACATATTTGTCTAATCTCTTTAATATCTTTCTTCAAGGTTATTTTCATTCATAAATTCTTTAGATGTAGATTTTGTATACCAATTGTCGGAAACCTATAGCTAGCGGACAAATTCTAGCCCGCCGAGCTAGCCCGCTAGGCTGGTGTAAAATTACTATATAATCTGAATCTTGAGCTCACACGATGGCAGAACACAAAACATACCTTTGTTTTGCAGTATAAAGAAAAAAAATCTAAACACCCCCCCCCCCCCCAATTAAAAAAAAAAACCCTATAACCTTAATAGTGATAACCAGAAACGATTTGGCCACATCTTGGATCCTGCTAGTGCAATACATGTTGCGGAAAAAAAAAAAAAAAAACACATTATGAGACACTTCTGTCAGCGGACTTTGATAATAAAATATAAGCAGAAGACAATTTTTTTTTCTGATCGGCAAGTTTATAAATCAAAAGAGTGCTGTAACAGTTCTTGGCATCCGTTTGTCTGAAGACTGGATTGTAGCAGTGGTCATAAATAATACATAAATTACACACTTACAAACACAAGCACTCACACTGACACACAGCAACCCACACACACTACCCATGGCACACTGATACACAGCAACCCACACACACTACCCATGGCACACTGACACACAGCAACCCACACACACTACCCATGGCACACTGATGAAGATAGATGTTCAAAGTTGGCACCAACAGTTAGTGACACAATGGTAATGTTAAGTAAAACACGTACGGTGGCTAAAGAATATCGACATTTCCAGGCAAAGATGCACTACAGATTATTTCTTTATTCTGTATAACGATAAACCCGTAGGTTTAAAAATCAGCTTGAAGAGATAAATTTAGGAAAATATAAAATCGCTTCAGTGGCGAGTGTGTATGGCTATACGATAAGCGAGGGATTATAATTTTAGATTATTCCCCAAAAAATATCGTGTCAGGAGGTAATCTGGGTTTTAATCGACCCCACCCCATAAGTGATGAAACTATGGGGGTGACTGCAGTCAAGCTTATACAAGGAATTCCAGAAAAATTTGACTAAAAAGCTCAACAAAATGGGAAAGATGAAAACGTGCACAAAACAACACAACGTAACGTTTCGGCCGGGCAGCCTTTTTCAAACATAAGTGAAATACACAAACGAGGAATAGAGAGTATGTAGATCTCTAAGGGTTGACGTGAGCGACGTTTAAAAAAAAATGTGATGCGGAATAAATGAAATAAAATAAAATAAACGATAGCTAAAAAACTATAGTCACAATACTGGGAATAAAAGAAATGCAAGTGTTAATGATACATAAATGATACTGATAAGAAATAGATAAAGTAATAATATGAAATAAAATAAAATAATTAACATTTAAAATGTGATAAGATTAGAACTATTTAGATGAAGGTAAGTTGGATATTGATACCACTTGGACTAAGATCGCCAAGGCTGTGGATAAAGCGATTTTCCAAAGCGAGGCGGGTAGTTATAGTATAGTTCCCTGCGTGAGCTCTGAGTAGTCCCAAAAAGAAGTGCTGTGTGGATCGGTGGGAGTCGGCTTCGGACAAGTATGTCTTTAAGGTTGCGGTCTCGTCTGTAAACTAATCTAGGTTTCTCACTAAAGATAATCTTGGTGTCCGGATCAGAGCGGAGGATGTCCAAATGACGAAAGAATACTTTGGAAGCAACCACATTGTTAGTGTGAAAAGTCCAGATCAATTGAGGCCCATCATTGGTGGAATTAAGTTTGGTAGGAAAAGTATCCCACCCCATCAGGCAGGCGACTAGATTACTACTTCTAGATTTGGCTGGCGGGAAAAAAAAAAAAACAACAACAGAAAAACCAACAACACAGGTTGCCCACCCCTGCTCTATACATACCAGCCAGTCATCGCCAAATGACAACAACATTAAGGTGATGGTAAACTTGAACTTCCCTGCATGACTAGTTAATGTTCTTTAGCTGAGGGTGGAGGGTGTGGATGTGGGAGCAATCAGGTGGATGATATACCCGTGTACTCGAAAACATCGGTTTATGGATGGTCAATATCGAAAAGGTCTGTTCAATACGCCGAAGGAGATTGGGTGTCCACATACCTTACCAAGTTACTCTACACAGGTATAAAAGGTACAACCAACTTTAACGGTTTAACATTGGAGGAGTTTGTAATCAACAATGGAAGGAAGCGGGGAGGTGTACTTGCTCCTATCTTCTTTGGAATATACCACACTTTTTTTGAAACATGCCTTTCGAGATCGTGGTTGGGGGTGTAGTATATTCATCCTTTCTTGATATGACGGCATCATCTACAATGCTCGTAGCCTGAAGGCCAAAACCAAGATAAGAAAGGTACTTATCAGAGCGCTGCTGTTTGCAGATGATGCAGCAATTACCATCCACTTAGAGGTGGAGTTGCAAAGTTTACTGTCTGCATTTGCTGATGCATGCTGTGAACTTGGACTAACAATCAGCAAAATGAAGAAAAAGATTATGGTGCAAGGTGTAAATGATGTACATGTTGTCTACAATACTTTTGAGAAGCTGGAGACAGTTGACACTTTTGCCTATCTACTAGTGACGCCATCGCCATGGGCTGTGAGTTCCATGCCTCCTCATTGCACAATATAACACTATCGTCTGGAAGGTGCAAGTCGCTTAATTTAATGGTCCTGCCATGCTAGTATGCGTATTACATTAGCGAGGAATTCTGTCTATGCATAGTGTTCAGAATCAGCTACATTACTGGTGAAAAGCTGGAGACAGTTGACCATTTTACCTATCTGCTAGTCACACTCGCCATCACCATGAATACCGTAGTTCAGCTACACCAGAGTCAATAACAGATCGCTGTGGGTTGACTGTGGCAACTGTTAGGAAGATAACAGCAAATTACCAAATCAACATTGTCTAGAAAAACCACACTAAACGCGAATGTTGGTTTTGCGATGTCTTGAAGAGGAAATAAAACTTACTTGAGTCAGCCATCCTTCAATTGCTTGTTACCAAATGTTGTTATTTACGTGAGCAGTGGCCTATTCGCCTAGATCTGTTTAATTTCCAAAATCTCGGTGATTTTGAAAGTACACACTGGCCCTCAGAATGTTTCAGTCTTGTCCGATAAGATCAGACTTCCAAAGCAATTCCCACAATCAAATAAAAAAAAAATAAAAAAAAAAAAAAGGGGGGGGGGCGATTACTTTCATTTTAATTTTATTAGTTAACACTAGTTTTATACATTCAACATTGTCAAATGATGCACCTCTGCCCCAGCTCGAGATGTGCATCAAAACCTAATGTTACCGCGGTCTTTTTCACTTGTGCTATAAAATTAAAATACACATACATTTATTCAGTTATGTAACATATAAGTATAACTTCTTAAATTTAAAAAAAAAAAGGTGTGCGAACAAAATGAAACACCAAATGATTTTTACACGTGCTGAAGTAGCTATAAGAAATTAAAAAAAAAAAAAGCCAGACAGACATATAAATTGGTTCACAGCCCTTTCGATATTAAGTGTGTCTAATAAAACCTGATATATATATATATATATATATATATAATATATATATATAGATATATATATATATATATATATATATATATATATATATATATATATATATATATATATATATATATATAAAGGGACAACAGAATGTGAGAACCACTGATATTCCCTGACTCAATTCATTGCATTTCCCCGATATAAATGTGACATCCGGGACAGTTGACACACATTTAACTTTTAGACCTCACCTATAGCTTCAGATTTTCTATTTGTAGCAACTGACTTCTAAATTCTACACAGATTTAGGTATATAGCCAGTGAGGTCGTTGGTTCTCTGTGTGTACCCGCTGACTTCTGCATTTCACAGAAGTAGATAGTGAGATGTGTTCCAGAAGTTATGTGGTAAGTAGATAGTGAAATGTATTCCAGAAGTTATATGGTAAGTAGATAGTGAGATGTATTCCAGAAGTTATGTGGTAAGTAGATAGTGAGATGTATTCCAGAAATTATGTGGTGAGTAGATAGTGAGATGTGTAAGAGAAGTTATGTGGTAAGTAGATAGTAGATGTGTTCCAGAAGTTATATGGTAAGTAGATAGTGAGATGTGTACCAGATGTTATATGGTAAGTAAATAGTGAGATGTATTCCAGAAGTTATGTGGTAAGTAGATAGTGAGATGTGTTCCAGAAGTTATGTGGTAAGTAGATATTGAGATGTGTTCCAAAAGTTATGTTGTAAGTAGATAGTGAGATGTGTACCAGATGTTATGTGGTAGGTAGATAGTGAGATGTGTTCCAGAAGTTATGTGGTAAGTAGATTATAAAATCTGCGAACTTGCAGAGTGCTTATTAGCTTCATCCTATGGTGTTATTTTTGGGTATTAAAAGGGCTACCCCCCCCCCCCCCCCATCAGTTCTGTTATATGTAGTCTTGTCGATATCATAGATGGAATCCAGTCAAGCCCTTTTAGCTTTTCCCATCAATATCCTCATTTTCCTCAGTACATTTGTTTCCCATTTCAGTACTTGTTTGGCGACTATCTGTTTGCTTCTCCTTGGAGTTTTAATGCAAATTAACTTTCTGTAAATTGCTTGAAATAGATGGAAAGAATTGCTAGTAAATGATAATTTCTTATGATTAAAATTAGGCGATACTTTCTCCTTTTCTTGGCAGTTATGTTTTGGTCCTTCTAAGCAATATAGTACAAACTTTCTTCTTTCAACAAGAGCTATGTAACGTCACCTTTCTTCCACAAGTTGAAGAATTCAAATATCTAGGAATTATATTCTCGGTGGACGGAAGATTAAATCGGGAAATAAAAATAAGATGCCAACGAGCCAGTGTACTTTCATACGAAATGAAACCGTTATAAGGACATGTAATCATAAGTATGAGCACCCTAAAAAAAAAAAAAAAAAAAAAACATATTATAAACAGCATATTTATACCAACATTGTGTTACCTGTGCTAGACCTGGACATTATCAAAGACTAACCTATGTCAAATTAACACCTGTGAAATGAGATGTCTGAGAAAAGCCGCCAATTTAACCACCCGAGACAAAGTGGTTTGGTTATATAGTAAGAATGCAGAAAGAACAACTACCAACGCAGTAGCTACACATGAAAAAATTTGCGAAGTGAAAGCAAGAGACCGCTCTAGGAGACAATGTATTGATGAACTTCAAGAGCTCCTACATCGACACGGAATGGCAACAGACACTGCTGCACATCAAGCAATGGATCGCAAAATGATCCTCCTCACAACTTTTAACGGCAGAAGTTGAAACTGATGATGACATTTCATCCATCTTCAGATTAATTAGAGCTACACACACCGACTGTCTTCTTTCTACCAACAGGTTTAGAGCTACGAGTCCTGTTTTGACTGTAGCGACAAACACCGATGGAAAACCTAAATGTGCATATGTAATCTGGTAATCTGGTATCTGGTAATCCTAGTTTCAGCTTCATAGCAAACGGGTCACCCCATAGTTGCTCCGTTCCTGTGCCAACGAAAAACACACGTAGCTCACAGTGTCACGACATGCACTCAACTCAGAAGCTGGGCGACGAAACTATATCCTTCCAGTCTACAAATGGAGCAAAAATGCAACGGCTACCGCCTGGCAGAAGCAAAAACATTTGCCACGGCTAAAAAAAAGTGGCCGTGCCTAGCGTCCAGTTTGACCTGAAGCATTATATGAGGGTTAATGAACGGTCACCCCAGCAGTACCCTCACTATTAGCCGGGGAAGGGACTTAGGACATTACATCCACCAGCAGGCGTCGCCTCTACAACGACCTGCATGCCTTCCTTAACGACTGTTCACGCAACAGCCATGCAGTTCTTTGGCACGAAGGAGACACCTTGAACTTGGGTTTCGGACTGCCGACTCCCTACAAAATGTTATTTTATGTTTTGTTGTCACAATTGATGTCACTGCACATTGGGCATACCCATGCGTGCTCAGTTCTCCGAAGCAGCAGCCACTCCAAAGTACTTCTACTAATTGTCCCCATGAGAAGCTGGTTATTTCGTCTCCTTTCTCGGCCCTGAAGACGGCAAAGACGTGCATCACCATGCTTAACTCCTATGTCACGCAATCGTGTTAGTGTCAGGGACTCCTCATTCTCCACTAGCCCAGTTCGTACAGCGTTGACGATATCTGCTCTGTCCATGCTTTTTCCCGCAATCATTGGTGCAGTGCTTGCCAGTTGGTCCGCTCGCTCATTTCCCTTTACGCCCGCATTACCCGGTGTGTAGATCCAGGTTACGGAGGTTAAGTGCGATTTCCGAATGATTTCTATCCATTCAGAGCGCATACTGCCTGTTGCTATCTTCTGAAGCATATTCATTGAGTCTGAGACAATTACTGCCTGTGTGGCGGTTTGCTCGGATACCCAATCTAAAGCTCTAGAAGCAGCGGCTATTTCCATTGTCATGCTTGACGTGGTTGCCTGGTAAGCGCCGCTGTCCTCATGTATTGTTTTTCCCCTTCTTTGCGCTGTGTATGCCCATGTTGACCTTGATCCGCGCTTCACGGATCCATCTGTGTAGATGATGATATCTTCTGGGTCTGAATGCTGATCTATCAGTTCCCTTACTTATGTGTCTACGGCCGCAGGAATCTGATCCCTGCAGTACCTTTCGAGTGTGATGACAACCTTAGAGATGCCATGCATGTCTACTGGTGTATTCGTTATTCTTTGCCGTGACTGATCACGTCTAGGTCACATACCGGGCTGGATCAAATCCTCAGCCTTTGCCATCCAAGAGCGGCCTCTTTTGAGACGCGTTCCTTTTGTGTCGTGTATAGCTTTGTGCAATGGGTGGTTAACGTCTGCCGATACCCTCATGTAAGCCTTGACCTGTGCCACTTTGTATCTGCTAGTCATCGTCGGGAAACCCAGGACATAACGCATGGCGTTGCAGGAGGTGTCTTTTGTGCAGCCGAGTATTAGTCTCTTGGCCTCATTTTGTACTCGGTCCTGTCTTTCTAGCTGGGTTTTGCTGACGGTGAGAAGGGCAAGACCATAGTCAATGACGCTAAGCACAAGCCCTTGATAGAGAAGGAAAAGTAGGCGTTGTTCAATATCAGCTACTGCTAGCACTTTGAGTGCTGTCAAACCTTTCCTGGCTCTAAGTATGACGTTGTCTACGTGGCATTTGTATGACAGGCATCTATCAAATGTCATGCCCAGTTATTTCATAATGTCCGTTCTCTCGATGTACACACCACAGATGCTTACGACTGGTGTGCATATGTAGTATGTTTATGTGGTTCATTAGCTAGCTATGTTTTTTTCATCGTCGAAATCTTGTTTGAGCCTGTAGCAGTCTATTTGGTGGAAGAAATAGGCAAAAATTTCAGGAAAATAGTAGTTTCACAATTTTTTCGTTGTCTGTCGAATTTTCGGAAGTTTCACGTCCATTGATTTACGACATTGTGACAAGGTATCTTGGATTAAAAAAACAACAACTGTGTGCCATCCAAACCAAAAGACGTGGTTTGCTGACCTCTGGAATTATGTGTTTGCACAAAAACGCTTGTCCTCACGTTGCGGATAGAACTGTTTACTTGTTGCAGAAATGTCACTGGCAAATTGTTGCCCACCTGCCCTACAGCCCCGATCTGGCGCCAAGTGATGACCACCTGCCCTACAGCCCCGATCTGGCGCCAAGTGATGACCACCTGCCCTACAGCCCCGATCTGGCGCCAAGTGATGACCACCTGCCCTACAGCCCCGATCTGGCGCCAAGTGATTACCACATCTTCAGGCACCTTAAAAAGTAGCCGACATTCCAGCGGTCTGGAACTTATGATATACTGCAGACAGGCCTTAATGAACGGTTCAAGACACTGACGGCAGACTTCTAAAACACTGGAATTAGGAACCTTTCGGGACGATACCAAAAATGTGTTGACGTCGATGGTGACTATGTTGAGAAATAATGTAAATTTGTGGTTTACCCTTTAAAAAAAAAAAATTTTCCACAGGACCTAACACTGAGCGATAAACACTCGGTGTCACAAAGTGCCACCTTGCGGATGAGGATCACCCGTTCAACCGTTGGTTATATTAGGGCCCCCTGGGAACAACCAGGGTGGGGCTTCAAAGTAACCAAAAATTGCATCCCACATGGGGGTGACTTCTTAACTTTAGGCTGAAATAATTCAATTTTATATATGATTTTTTTTTTAAAAATGTCATACTGTGACTTACTCAAAAAACTCGCGTCTGACATTGCATGTGTCCTTTTCTGCCAAAATGATCAGAGCTACCTAAAGCTATCTGTCATAGTTGAACCAAAAATATAAATACACAATACGTTTGTCTTCTTCAGTGCTGGACCAAAGCTAAAATTAGTGGGGTGGGGGGGGGGAAGGGGTGGTGGAAGGGGGAAGGTTTTGGGCTAGGGGAGGGAGGGGGGGGGGGGGGGGGGTCCTACTTAAGCAATTTCTTAGTCATTATTTTAATATTAGGTTAAACGAAACAAACATAGCAGAAAATCGTTTACATGAAACTGACAAACTCCTAACGACGAGTTTTTTTTTTTTTTTAAATTACTGTATTTCAGATTCAATTCAAGCTTGATAAATTCGTAAAAAAAAAAAAAAAAATTTTACAATACCATCACCGCGTTTTTAGTGCCTTTCTAAAACATGTGCAGCTTCTTATCTTGTACATGTGTGCATGCACACACATGCCAAACACCTTGTCACTGGAACTGTGAAACGCACAATTCGATACAATGATTTTGTAACTTGTCCATGAATTTTGAGAACATTACTGATGCTTCAGGGATATATAAAAAAGGAATAAAAAGAAACACAAAAGACACATTATAAGGAATGCTGTCGATAATATCAAGTAACATCTAGAATGCTTCAGTTTCACAGCCCATATGCTCGAACTGCCACAGATCTTCTTTCTAGCAAAATTATTAGGAATCCAAAATACAGTTTTTTTTTTTTTCTGTCAAAATTATTAGAAATAGCAAATACTATTTGTCAGTTTTCGTCCAAAATTGACAGAGCTACATACTGCTACCTGTTCTATGAAATTGATGTTTATTTATACTTTTTTTTTTTTGGGGTCTAATTAACTCTTTCATTTGTTCAACTATTCTAAGTTCAAAATTTTTTTCATTTTCCATTGTTGCATTCTGTTGTTATAGCAACTTTCAGACTTTCATGATCGCAACGTTATTTCTTTGTTATTCGATAATAAGAGGCTTCAAATTTGATCACCACCCTAATATTTTTCTGCTGTTTAGTTTTATCAAGTTTCACAGTTTCTTTGCTTTTCGTTAAAAAAAAAATAAGAATGGAAAGAAGAAAAAGAAGAAAGAAGAAGAAGAAAAAGAAGAAAAGTTAAAAAAACAACAAAAGAAGAAGAAGAAGACGACGAAGAAGAAGAAGAAGAAAAAAAAAAAAGAATAAAAAATATGAAAAAAAAGAAGGATGAGAATGAGGAGCAGGAGAAGGAGGAGGAGAAGAAGAAGCAGCAGAAGAAGAAGTACATAAGTTGCAATTAAAATATATATTCCTGCTCACCTAGCCTGTTACATCGGGTCTCGATAGTGCCTGGACTACTGGCTGTGTGTGGCAGGAGTATTAGAGGATAGTTGTTGGTGATAATCATCATTTAGAGATTTTAGTATCGCTTCCTGTAGATACGACACACATGACAAAACCTGACAACAATATGACTTGAATATTCCTGCACTGAAACACTGAAACCTACAGGGTCAACTGAATAATAGGAAAAAAAAAACGCACGTGCGCATCCCTCACCTCCTTCCCCTCCACAGACACACACGAACTGAGGGCAGGGAATAGAATGATGGAGTGAAAAGTCTAAAGGGAAAACCTAATGTGACGTGTTCCTTAATAGCACAGATGGGACGACTTGGCTTGAGTTGGTTAAATGCCTTTTCTCTTTTGAGGGATGGAGGATAGAAGAAGAAAAGGTAATACTGCATCATAATAAATATACTTGAGTGTTTTATATCATGTGAGGGTTACTAACGATTCTGCATATGGTGTTATCGCTTTTGGCAATTGATAGCCGTAGATGATCCACATACCAGGGTAGCAATGTATGCTTCAAATTTACCATTGTTATTTAAAAACATTTCTGTATAGACGATTAGACTAACTGCTCCTTTTTTGGAATATCATTGGCTAAATAACTTGCAATAATTGTTCCTGACCACACACGTAACCTAAAGACTGTGCATACAAGACACTTTCAGGACACTGATTTAATAATTAAGTGCAATTTAATATAGTTTTCGTCAGCTCCCCGTTTAGTTTCTAAAGTTTCGTTTCTTTTTCTTGGTAATTCATGATTTTTGTTTCTCCACCACAGGTAATATTGCTTCTGTCGCAAACATTAGCTTTAATACAGGTGAGTAATCTTTCTGTATGTCTATCTTTTTTGGGTCTATATTATTAATAAGACACATGAAATAATGATTTATGGCCGCAAAAAACAATTTCGGAAAGCTGAACCCAAACAAGAAATATCCGGACTTTTTCGACATTCATAGAGCTAGATAACCATTGTGGTCCGCATCGACAGCTGTAGAATTTAAGGATCCTTTTTTGCACGATTTGATGCGTGTTGGGAAAATAGGGCTAGACCTATATTTTAAAGACCAATCGACATCACACCTGCAGCCTTTACTTCCCATGCTGTACAGTGTGCCCACTCAAGGCTAGGTCGACCCGAGAGCCAAGATCATAAAAAAAAAAAAATCAATAAAAGTGTGGCTTCTTCAGAACCCGATCCGCAGGCTAGCTCTAGCAGTAACACTGCAGTGGCTCCCTCTGGCCAGCTGTTCAAGGGTTAGTTGCGTATCCTTTACAGGACGTTGCAGAACCAACCCCAACAGCCCCTGGCTGTTGTGTGGTTTTTCTAGGCAAATTTACGTCCAGTAGTTTGCCATTGCTTTCTGGACGGACGGCTTTCTTGAATCCACTGTCGAAACCAACGCAAGGCGCATGGCCCGCACCTGGGATCGAACTTGGCATCCCGGCATGACGAAGCGAGCTGTACAAGAACTAAATGAAGATCAGAACCAACATGGCCGTTAAAACAGATAGATATAGCAAAGCATGTACATTCATACTCTAGTGACATGCTGGCCATAACATGCCAGGTAATCATTTGTGCCTTGATTTAACGTTAGTCAATCGTGACCGCAGTAAGAATTACACAGACATTAACATTCTGTTTATATTCCACAATAACTTTTGGCTACAGAGTACCTACTGTTGCCTTTGGGTATTTTACTGGGTGAAGCCCAAGTCAGTTCCGTGGTGCGATTCTCATACTGAAAACCCATACCCTGGTGAAAATAATACAGCAGGGAGTGGCTGTGTGCTCTGGTTGCCACTGGAGACTCAGCGGGAAGGCAAGACGAGTAGTTAACCTAGTGATAACGGGCACTATCAGTGTGGAAACTCTTCGCTGTCTGTTGAGGAAGGAGATAGGCTTGTCCTGAATTCTGTGATGTCGAATCTTCAGAAAGCTACGAGAACAGTGTAAACAGCGAAACCCTGGTGCTCATCATCATCATCACCACCACTACCACAACTATCATCATCGTCATCATCACCACCACCACTACCACAACCATCATCATCATCATCATCATCACCACCACCACCACTACCACAACCACCACCATTATCATCGCCATTATCATCACCACCACCACTACCACAACCATCATCATCGTCACCATCACCACCACCACTACCACAACCATCATCATCGTCACCATCACCACCACCACTACCACAACCATCATCATCATCGCAAGGACGAGGAAAGTGATAATTCCTGCACAAATTCAAAGCCACAGTACTGCACGAGAATCACATAGGCTTTGTTGTATTTCACAGTATGTCCTAGTACCCACTGAATGAGACAGTTTGCTCTTGGAATTAGCATGGAGTCTGTTGTCAAAGGACGCGTCTAAAAATGTGGAGAAAATATTAGCAGACTCAGACTAGCTAATTTCAGCTGGTCTGTATTTAATACACTAACGTCGTTAAAAAGTTATAATACATTGATAGGTCCTAAAAGAAAAAAAAAATAGTGACAAAGGTACAGATTAGACAACATAAATGTCGGAAACTTCGAAAGCGATAGCTACCACTCCAGGAGTCAAACCTATCGCCCCCACCTATCGTTGCATAGATAATTATAGGTGATATTAAGCAGTGGGTTAGGAGAAAACTATCTTCATCAACTTTGTACCACTAAACACAAGCTTTTTTGTGTGACTTTAACAACTTGAAATCAAGTATTTTACCGGACTGAAATGCGAGAAGATAGTTTTCTAGAGAATTTATCAACACAAACACACACACACAAACACACACACACAAACACACACACACAAACACACACACACAAACACACACACACAAACACACACACAAACACACACACACAAACACACACACAAACACACACACACAAACACACACACACAAACACACACACACAAACACACACACACACACATCTACAGGGCATTCAATAGACGGGTCATTGACCACATCTGCCACTGAGCGGCGTTTGGTCCTGAAATATGTGGGTCAAGTACCGTGTGTCAAACATGCCTATGTTATAACAAAAGTGCGGTCCTGTTGACCACAAACCCGACAGATATATGACAGAGACAGATATCGAACAAATGTACATTGTGCCTGCTCTGTTCATGTTGTGCAGACACTGGCAGGTGGACAGCGTGTGTGCATCCTTTTTGATCATTCTCCAGCATTCTGCTCCATAAAGTAAAACTGGCAAAATGATGTTCGGAGTTTCGTTCTTCTGCAGTAACTGTTGGATTTCCAGATTTGCTACATCCTTCCAAAAGTAGCTCTAGCTTTGTTCAGGCGTAACTGTATGTCTTCCTCTGTCCCTCCCAGTAGGGACACCACACTGCTAAGATATGTGGAATGTTCTACATTTTCAAGTGTCTGGTTATTTATGGTCAATGGTTGTTGGTTTGGACTGTTTGTCATGATCTTAGTTTTCCTTGTATATATTCTCAGTCCCATCATGCTGATATTATCAATGCCCTCAGAGAAATGGGAAGAATAGAGGACTTTGGTGGCAGTGAATCCACATCACTCGCCAGAATGGCAGACTTGGGAATTAAGATCGGCACAGCAAAAAACGAGACGCACACCGGACACGTCAGAAGATTTGTTAATCAACACAGAACTGGTACTATTAGCCATCGGACGTTGGGATTCATACTGAGGGGAGGATCTGAGCACCTATGGACATGTCCGGAGTGCAATGATGATAACCCAACTAACTAACTAACTAACTAACTAATTCTCAGTCCCACTATTTCTGCTGTGCTGTGTCGTCTGTTACTTTTCTCTTGTATATGTTCATGTTTATGTGATAGGAGTGCTATATCATCTGCAAAATCAAATTACCATCATGGCAACACAAAATCATGATATGTGTATGTGTTTTATGCGTTTGGGTAAATATGTGTGTGTGTGTGTGTGTGTGTGTGTGTGTGAGAGAGTGTGTGTGTGTGTGTATATGCGTGTGCATGTGTATTTGGGGATGCGTTTTATTATGCGTGCATATCTTGACCGTTGTTCACAACATTATGTTTATATTTAGAAAAGACACATTTTTAATAAAATAACTTCATTTAATTACTGGTATATTTCATCTCTCCGCAGGCACAGAATGAAGGTATGTATTGGTACATACATTATATATATATATATATATATATATATATATATATATATATATATATATATATATATATATATATATAGAGAGAGAGAGAGAGAGAGAGAGCGGGAGAGAGAGAGAGAGAGATAGAGAGCGGGAGAGAGAGAGAGAGAGAGAGAGAGAGAGAGCGGGAGAGAGAGAGAGAGATAGAGAGCGGGAGAGAGAGAGAGAGAGATAGAGAGCGGGAGAGAGAGAGAGAGAGATAGAGAGCGGGAGCGAGAGAGAGAGAGAGAGAGATAGAGAGCGGGAGAGAGAGAGAGAGAGAGAGAGAGAGAGAGAGAGAGAGAGCGAGAGCGAGCGATGGGCAGACTCTTTTCCATTAGCAGTTTTCTTTAAGGCTTTTTCTATTCCAGTCCTCAGTCAGCCAGGATCCCATGGATTTGGTTTACCACTTCTTGGCCCCTCGTGCTGATCCTCTCATATTCTGCATACATGCCCAAATAATCACAATTATAACTCAAACACTATAGTTTGTGAGGTCTGGGTTCAAGATCATGACGCATCGTCTGGCTGCAGACTTGTTCCTTTCTTGTTACACGGACAACTTAGTCTTATATCTCATGTCTGAGGCCACGGAAAAGCGGTATGCCGTCATGGACGCCCGCAAGGGGGGGGGGGGGTGGCCAAAGGGGGGGGGGGCACTTGCCCCCCCCCCCCCTGGATTGATTCAAAATAGTCATTCTTTCCCTGCCGTCTGAAGCAAGTGCCGCGTCACGTAAGCTCCGCGCGTCGTATTGTATTTACCTAAGCAAATACTCCTGTAACCTTTATATAAATAAACTTCTGAATCGAGCCGTGAGTATTACTAAACCTTACCATACATTAACTATATTACATGGTCTCCTTAATGTCAACCACAAAAGCGAAAATTGGCCGACGGGCGTGGGACCTTCTGATATCAAAATCCTAGTCAAATCCATCTTCCACGCACGTCGCCGCCAAAAAAGTATTAGAAAAATATAAATCATCTATTTTAATTTCATATGATTTTGAAGGCGACATGTCAGGAAGTGGAAAACGTTGTTAAAGCGAATCTTGGCTAACCCAATATACTCCATGGTCATCATATTCACCTAGGTTAAAATGTGCTTTTTGCATTTTCTGTGTTTTATTTCCGTAGCCAGTTCAAAGAGGAATTCAAGGTGCCTTTATTACTACTACTTGTACAAAGTACACAGATTTTAATGAATGTGCCAGAAACCATACCAACTCAGCATGGCATCGTGGGTCTCAACAAGATGCTGAACACTTCGCGTCAACCATTAGAGATCCAAATAAGGATATTATTTGTCAGATAATTCTGTAAAACGAACTATAGAAGAAAACAGAAAGAAACTGTATCCTATTATTTCAGCAATCTTATTTTGAGGAACAAATGATTTGGCAATTTGTGGGAAAGATAGCGCCAAAAGAAATGTCGAACAACTTTATGCGTATCGAATTGAGGGAGGAGACAGTATTTTTTAAAACCATTTTGATACAGCTGCTGGAAATGCACGTTACACATCACACAGAACGCAGAATGATTTGATCAATTTGTCTAAACAAGCTCTGCGAGAAGACATTGTAAAAGCTGCTAACAATGCTCTTGGATTCTCGATGATAGCCGATGTAACAGAAGATATCTTAGGAACAGAACAGTTATCACTGGGAGTCCGGTTTGTAGATATGTCTAGTGAGCAGGCTATGATTCGTGAGGAATTCGTTGGATTTTCTCCGCTGAAAGGTATGGACGCCGCCACGATATCTGATTGTATTATTCAACATTGCAAAACATTTGGTCTTCTCCTTAATAATCTGCTGGGTCAAGGTTATGATGGGTGCTCGACAATGGCCGGAAAAGTAAATGGTGTTCAGGCAAAAATTCGAAGTATTTACCCCAAGGCTGCCTTTGTTCCCTTTGCCTCGCATAGACTGAATCTCGTAGTAAATGATCCTAATAATGTTGCAGTGATACGAAATACTATGGGTACTATCAAAGCAATTATTACATTTTTTCGTGAAAGCCCAAAAAGGAGGCCCTCTGTCCCAAATATTCCTCTTCTGTGTGAGACAAGATGGACAAGCAAGTATAAAAGTATTCGGATTTTTTCTAGTAAATTTGAAGATATTTTTTGTCAACTGGAAGAATTTTCATTGCATGCAAGTGGAAATACACGACAGGCTGGACATCAGTTATATTGTTTATCAAAGTCCAGCACGTTTTTATTTTGTCTCAATATTATTTCGCAGTTACTCTGCCATACTGGAACCAGTTACTCAGGCTCTTCAAGCTGTTCAAGTTGATCTTCCAGAAGTCCAACTGCAAGTTCAAAACCTGCTCAGTGTAGTAAAACTTCACCGAGGTGATTCCGATAACTATTTCAGAGATATTCTTGAGAAAATAGTACAACTCGCACAGAAAGTGGATATTGAACTGATTATCACAAGACAGTGTGGAAGACACAAGCATCGAAGTAATCCAGGAACCATAAGTGTTGAAGAGTACTTCTTCATCCATACTTAGACAATGGAGAGTCGATATAATGTCTACATTCATTGATAATTTTTGAAACTGAAGCCTTGAGTTGGTTTGATTTTTGGAAAACACAGTATTTAGATTCTCTAATTAACTCAATGGAGAGTCGATGTTTGTAAAGCAGAGATAACAGGTAACAGACGACTCCCATTTAACTTAGCGTTGCTGTGTATATACACTATCATCCTTCGAAATTGTGCGTGGGCGAACTCCAATTCGTCAACAGTTTCCCAAGGACAAATGTCTACTGTCTTTAATCAGGTATACCAACACATTGATGATGACTGTCTCCTTCTTGATTTTGAAACTGAAGCTTTTAAAAGTTCTTTTTTTTGTCCAAGTTATTTTGGTAAAACACGAGAATACAAAAGTAGCCAAGATTTCATCGACTACTCTCAAACAAGGATTATTTGCACAAGATGTTTTTCATTTTATAAAAAAGTTTTATCCGAGTCCATGTGCCCAGATACTTAAAGTACTTGTAACATGCATTTCACTATTTGTTTCTTTTTTGCTGTCTTCCCATTACCAACTGAGGCCCATTCTCCACTTTCTAACACCACAATGTGGTAATTCTTTCTGAGCGAGCATAATATATTAACGATAAATTGTTTAGATTGTGCTCACCAACCACGATTCCCATGTTTGCGGCCATACATTGGAATTAATAAAAAAATTTGCGTGTTGCTACAGTATGCCCTTCATTACTACGGTGTCCTGTCCGTTCGTTCACCATACGCTACAGTAAATTAAAACTACATTAAAACATTACTAAAAATATTTTGCCCCCCGCTAGAAAATTTGTCTGCGGGCGCCCATGTATGCCGTCATGACCTTCCTCGTGCCACACTCTCTTTAAACTCGATCGGTGGTGAGGTCAGCATTATCTATTTACTTTTTATGTTATTCCACAGAACCCATTTTGATTTGGGTTGATCTGAAAGCCCTAGCCTTTTTTAAAACATTTTTCGTCTGGGATTTAAACATATGATTGTCAGGCAAAGGTCAGTTTGTTACTGCGGCTCCTATTTTATAGAGTGGTAGAATAATAACTCACTTTTAGTAGACAGCAATTATTTACCATTTCTATTTGTCGTCGAAATAAGTAAAGATGCTATTATGATATCTACAGCAAAATGATATCAAAAACAGAGAACTAAAGCATTTAGTGCCATCATAATTGACTAGAGGTAGCTCAACAACCCAAGATTAACAACAACGCCTTGAAAGACATAGTTGAACTAACTAAATAGAAGACAGAAGACGTATATTATATATATTAGAGGTCAGAACAAGACTTCTCACAGCTAGAGTCAGTTTTAACATAAATTTGATAACAATTAATAAACAAGCTAAAAAAAATATCGTGAGGCCTCGGAGATGTGGTTTTACTGAAGAATCCTTAGAATTCTCGGTACAGACAAAAAGGTAAATCCAGATGTCTTAAAAGTGGCGAGGAATCGAAGACAGCTTATCGCAAACATCAGAAAGAGAGTCATTATTTGTTGGTCATGTTATGAGAAAAAGGAAACTGGATCATGTTTTGACCGCCGGAAAGATCTATGGAAAGACAGGCAGAGAGAGAGACAACATGAGAAGATTATTGTCAGTATTTTGTCATGATGTGGAGGGTTGTCTACACGCCATTGCATATCGCAGACTGTGGAGAGGTATGATCGCCCACGCCAGTCGGCAAGGTACTTGATCAATAGTATTAGTATAAGCAGCAGCAGCAGTAACAGCAACTGTAACAGCAGCAGCCGCTCTAGTTGTAGTAGAAGAAGAAGAAGAACAAAAGCAACAGCAGTATCATGAGTAGTAGCAGCAGCAGCAAAAGCAACGACAATAACAAAAACTTTATGAAGTTTCTAGTTTAAAAGCTGACAAAATATAGGAGACAATAAGGCTGGAAGAGCACACATGCACGCATGAATTCAGTCAAGCACTCTGCGACATACATACCATACACCTGACAGCTAGAGTAACATTATTCTATATTCTCCAAATACAACACAGAGACAACCTCTGCCCCATTGACCTGTGCTAGTATGTTGTGTGCACCTAGCACATACTGTCGAACAGTTATGTCCTGCTCCACCTGTCAACCTGAGTCCAGATGTGTACCGGCCGATAACATCAATGAAGGTAATAGCTCATTTACAGATTTTACTTTATTTGTATCATCATCAATATCATCATCATCATCATCATCAGTCAGCAAGTCCCTTATAGAATGTAGTTCTCTTCACGGCATGCCTGAAAGTATCAATTTTCCTAGCCAGCTCTCCAGCCCTATGTGCTTTCAAGGCCAATGTATCTTCAATGACCTGTCGACATATGCCTAGCTTTCCGCAAAATGCGTCCTCCATCACCGTCTTTTCCAAGCCACCATCACGTTTGATGTGGCCAAACTACTTGAGCTTTCAGGACTGGATGCTGTTTATGAGCCAGTTCTCCTTGATGTTTAATTCGTGTAGAATGTCGAAATCTTTCTGCTTCTCGATCTATGGTATTTTAAGAAAATGTCTGTTACATTTTAATTTAAAAGCAACTGTCGTTTTCTTCAGTGATTGAGTAAAAGTCCAGGACTCACAACAGTAAGTTGTCACAGGAAGAATGCATGATCTCACAATTTTTACTTTAACTGTAGGCTACTTTTTTCCCCCGTAGGTTCTTCCTGCTGTTTAATCATTGCTAATGCAAGTCTTCTTCTGTCTTTTTTCGAGAAGTCTCCATTGTTGTTCACTAAAGAACCCAAGTATTCGAAATCTGTGACACTTTCTATTTCTTCATTTTCCATTGTGATGTGTGGTTGGTGTGCTGTATTTACCGAGGGCATGATTTTTGTGTTTTTCAAATTCAGAAAAAAGATTCACTTCTTCGCTGTGCTTTTTGACATCCAGAATTAATTTGTCTAAACTTTGTACACTGTTAGAAAGGAGAACTGTGTCGTCTGCAGATCTAAATTCAGGGATAGGATTACCGTTAACTTTTAGTGGATTAAAGCTCTCACATGTGTCATCGCTTCTTTCGTTTCTCATAACGTTTTCAGCATCTACTTTAGTTGCATATCCTTTACAGGACGTTATAGAACCCACCCTAGCATTTTTTGTCTGTTATAGTTTTCTAGGCAAGTTTACGTCCAGGAGTTTGCCATTGCCTACTGGAAGGTCGGCTTCTCGATACCACGTTCGAAACCAAGGCAAGGTGCAAGGCTCGCAGCTGGAATCGAACCCGCACCCCGACGTTATCGAGCGCATCGCAATGCCTAAGCCACAGACACTGACAGTTTTAGCATTTGTGTTTAAAAAAGACGGAGAAAGAATGCAGCCCTGTCTCCCTCCTTTCTGCACTTCAAACCACTCTGCTGTTTCACCAGCTACTCTGACTGCTGCTTGCTGTTCACGGTAAAGAGATTCCAATAAGTGCACCAGATGTTTGGGAAAACCCTTGCCTCTCATTATATGCCACATTTTATGGGGTTGCACACAGTCAAATGCCTTGCTATAGTGTATGAAACAAGTATGAAGATCTTTCTTGTATTCTCTACACTTTTTTAGCATTATTCTCGTATTAAAAATATGGTCTCTTGTTTCTCTGCCATGTCTAAACCCGCCTGTGCTTCCTGTAATTTATATTCCAATTTATTCTCGATTTTCATCAACATGATCTGCAGAAGGATTTTGCTGGCACGACTAATTAGAGCTTTAATCCAGAAATTGATATAAAATTTGAGATTCCTTTTTTTTTCCCCAGGAGGGAAGTATAAACTGATTTTCCCCCTGCTTTGGGCCAGTCAGCACTGTTTCAGATTTTCACACACAGTGCATGGTATAGAATAACGCTGGCTTCTTCTCCAACCTAAATTTACACTGCTAGTATGTTGTCACATCCTGGAGAGTTACTTTTTGTCAAGTTCTTTATTGCTTTTCCTACCTCCTCCAATAAAGGTCCGGACTCTTTCTATTTCCATTAATCTTTATTTGTTTATTTTGTGAAAATATTCATTGATCGTTACTGATCCTCACGTCCAATATTGCGGATAGGTAGCTTACTGCTTAAGTCGTTGCAATTGATTTGCTTCTGACAACGGTTAGCTGTTGCATGTTCCCCATGTGTGCACATAAAGTTTCGTAGCCCAGGCACCGAACTGGATGTATGGTACGACATTGTGAGCTGCAGATTTAATCTGGACTGCAAAAGATTTTTTTTTACCAAACTGGAGGTACCCAATAACTGGAGAGACTATCATCCCCCGATCTGGAAAAAGAAGGACAGTGAAAGAGTGCACCACATAGAGAAGAATTGCCGGACCAGACTGGTAAGATACTATATACACATTTTGAGAGGAAAATGAAGACTAGGCACAATTAATCAACCTCTACTCAGTGGAGTCACGAATGGATCTCAGAAGAATCAAAAGCTGTACGATGACATCTTTGCACCGCGACACGTAACAGAGATGAACAAGGAAACGTGAACACAGTGTAACGAGCAAGTATAGATGATGAAACAATAAGTCGACCCGGTCAGCCGTTTACTACTTTGGAAAATACTAAGGCCATATGGAGTTAATGAGTGTCTTTGTTTGCCGTAGGTAAGCGTAAAATTTGTTTATAAATGTTTTTTTTTTTTTTTTAAAATAGCTGTTGTGAAATATGGTTTTGTTCATTTTGTTGATACAAATAACTTTGTCCATTATACTGATTAAATGCGCTGACTTGTGCTTGCTATAAATAATGATGAAGTAGGAATCTTTAAATAATATTTGACTGCTGCTCTCCAGACACGGATACTTTGTGCAAGAATGGGAACTATTCTGAGGTCATCTTGCTGGAGAATCCGAACAACTCCTCATCTTATAGCCAGCTGCAGTGTGGAGTTGATGCTGGCACCCAGAAATGTCCTTTAGGATCAGACTGTATTCAGGATCAGTCAGAAATTGGATCCTGTTGTCGAGGACAGATCGAAATGCCGCCACAGACAGAAAAATCTGGTGTTTGTCCATCGGTAATTTGCACTATTTTTTATTTATGTAAACAACTTTTTTAAATGTTTGAATATGCAAAGGGCATTATTTGTGATACTAAGATAATGTTGTACTTATACTGACTGTGACCAGTTTCTTCATGTCGTTTTCGTTTATAGTTTTCTTTGGGGAAAGAGACCCAAAACAAGTATAAACTTTCTGCTGCACATTTCAGGGCGATGTCTCAGTCTGTGGAGGCGTGATGTGTGAACACGACTCTGGCTGTCCAGGAGCCCAGAAATGTTGTCCCGGCTGTGGAAATATGTGCACTAACCCACTCTGTGGAAATAGCGTGTGTTCTGTGGGTAAGTGTCATGCAACCTTTTCAATGAATTATTTTCTCTGTTTTAAAATATTGTTATATTGTAATTATTTATAAAATAAAGGTAGATACAGGATAGTGAGCAACAGGGACATCAGGCAAGATGGCACCGTGGTCAATGTCATTTCGTCATCATCAAGTGCCTTGCCGATTGGCGTGGGCCATCATGCCTCTCCACAATCTGCGATCGGCAACTTCGTGTATCAGTTCGTGTGCTGGCACCCCTCTAAAAGTAAAGATCCTTTTTCTACGCCTTTAGGCGTACAAGGCAAATAGGACAAGACCTATATATTTATAGATCAATCGGAACAAGATGGGTGTTGTGGTCAGCATCACGCCGGCAACCTTTACTATCCGGAACTCCACCCGGTACCCACTCTAGTCTGGGTCGACCTGGGAGTCAAAGCTATTTTTGAAAAATGTCTGGCTCCGTTAGGGAGCGAACCCACGACCTTCCAATCCACACTACTAGGCCACAGCGACTCCCCCTGACACCTTACTATGCCACAAGAAAATACTGTCAAGAATCTTCTCCCACTGTCTTCCCCTGTGTCTCTGTCCACATATCTTTCCAGTGGTCACAACATGTTCCTATTTCCCTTTTCCCATAACATGATTCCCCCCCCCCCCCCCACCCCCACTCCTCCCCCCAAAATAAAAATGATGATTGTCTATTTGTGATGTTTGTGATAAATTGCTTTTGAGCATTTACCTCTGTCAAAACATTTGGGCTGCTCTTTTTAGCTGTCCAAGGAATTCTAACGATTCTGGTGTGAAACCACATCTTCAAAGCCTCAAGATATTGTTCGGCTTGTTGATTCATTGTCAAGGCTTTACAGCTGCTGTGTGTTAAAACTGGCTATATATATAGCATGCGATATTTCTTTTACTAATCAACAATAAGAAGGATATATTGCCAAAAAATTTTCTTCATTTTGTAAAATGCAGTTTTTGCCTGTCCTATTCTATTCTTTATCTCTGTGATACATCTTCCATTGGATGTATCCATGTGCCAATGTCGTTTAATATAAACGTCACTAACCACAACAAATGTACCACAAAATTTCCCAGCGTTTACAATGTTTACTACAACAAATAGATATTTTTTTAAAAACTAAAATGAAATGATTTTCTGTTGTTTTGCTGTCTTCGGGATCCTCACCGGTGCTGTGGAGCTACGTGTATGCTTCATGTATTAAATTTTGTAGGTAATGGCGGATAATCCCAAACGAAGGAAAGCAACCTCATACCGACGAGGCAAGTAAGGCCGTCAAAAGACATTATCAATGCCATACGCGGAACTAAAAGCTGTAAAGCTTTCAGTTTCCTGGAACATGAAGTTTTCCTGAATTGACTGCATACCCCGGGTGTACCAGTTGGAGCCGCGAGACAAGAAACCCATGCAGTAACCACCCGTCGTTACATCAGCCACAAAAGAATGGGAGCTGCAAGACAAAAAACACTCAGAGACATACTCAGGAGGAGATCGGAGCACTTATGGTCATATCCGAGGATCTTGAAATGAACAACACACAATGAACATAAAAGCACATTGGCTGGAGAATTGGCTAAAGAAATATAGATTTTTACTGGTGCCATGACAACAGCAACAGTCTGTGAAAGAATCTCCTGAACAAATATGCATTTCCTTACGTCTCTGTTTCCTCTTGGAAATCCGGCTATGACTAGCTATCACTGACTACTGATTTGCCAATTTGAACAACAACTCCTTAACATTTGAAGCTCAAAGTCTCATTCGCATGTCGTTTGCTTTCTGTGAATGTTGAACCAATTTGATGTGCTCGATACATTTCAATACTTTGATACCAATACCTTTCACAGCTGAAGCACCCATGGAAATATTTTAGGGATGTCCTTGTATATTCCAGGTGAGACTTGTGTTGACAAACAGCGACAATGTCCTCCAGGATCCATGTGCATACAAGCTCTGCAGCCAACTTGTGTCCCTGACGGATGTGACAATTATACAGTTAGCCATCTTTTACAGGATTGAAATGCTACAATTATACTGAGATTGGCTCTGGTTACCACTGTCGAGAAGAACGCAAGGCAATCTGTTGCTAAATCGCCCGCACCTGGGAACCTGGCACATCGGAATTACGTAGATCGTTCCCAATGCCTAAGCCACGGATGCCTACTTAAAAAAATAGATAAAATGTAATAGATAGGTGCCGCTTTGTGCAATTCAAAGGGAAAGATGTGACCAACACTCCGAAGAAAAGTTAGGAAACATAAATATAGTCACAAAATGTTTTGCCACAATTAATATTAGAATACTACACCGGCGTTAGCTGGTCTACAGATGATCATCAATGCACATCAAACCATCCAGTTCAATCATTTCCCGCAGCATGTTGCAGCTCACGACACCAGTTCTGTATTGGTTTCTTATTTTTCTTTGACTTCTCGCATTCTGCTCTTGTCTGGCCACAACTCTGTGAACATGTTTTTTTGCAGTCTGGTCATTGTTGCAGATTCACAGTCACCACTTGGTTCTCAGCAAACGTCTTATTTCTTGTAGAGATTTCAGAATATCTGCCCGGTCCATGGTTCGTTCACACTAGCTTTACCTGCAAGCCTATCAGTTTGATCATTTCAGTGTACGCCTATTGGTGTTGGCACGAATGTGAAACTGATATTTGTCAGCCACGACCGCTTCAGGGACTCCGTTCACAGTCTTCGGACCCAGCCAATCTCTATCTTCCTGACAATACTCACTGAGTCACCGAGAAAGCATGTGCGGGAAAAGCTCGGTGTCTGCAGCCATGTTATTGCTTTGGTTACTGCAATTACCTGCATAGTCAGACTACTTGTAGTCAAGGCAACATCACCAGAATCGTGTTTCAGAATTCTAACTCCAACCTGAGCAGTAAAAGTCCACGAGCTTCTCACCAGGCGGACCACAAGCCTGGCTTTGCATTTTCTGTCAATTTGGATGTAAACATAAAAAGTCGCACAGCACTCTGTGGAAATAACCTTTGGAGGTCGCGGGAAACACAGCGCAAATAAAGACTGACTCGCGTCGTGATGCTAGAGAATGGGATGGCCGAGATGTGCAGAATTCATTGTTTTCAATGCCTGCTACAGCCAGTGAGAGACAGGACAAACAATCTTACACCGTTGGAACGTGTAACCTGAACCTGATCTAAAGTTTCTACACTAGGACATCAATCAATATGCGTCCCGATTCCTTGGCCATGTAGAGACCATTCTGTGGATCATTCATTGTTCTGGAAGCTGATGGGCTTGAGAATGAGCAAAGGAATACTTGCACACTTGGAGTTCTCATGTTATGGAATTGTTCCCTTTCTTCACTATGTTATCTTATCAGCCTATACAGGATACACAGTGACCTTACATCTCCTGATTCATGAACTTTAGGATTACTACACACAGTGACCTTACATCTCCCGATTCATGAACTTTAGGATTACTACACACAGTGACCTTACATTTCCTGATTCATGAACTTTAGGATTACTACACACAGTTCACGATAGTCACTTTTATTTGTTGCAGTTGTATTTGCGGAATTGTGGAACACAGGCACTTCTCTCTTCCACCTCTCTCCCTCTTTCTCCCCCTTGATATATATATATATATATATATATATATATATATACTATATGTATGTGTGTGTATGTGTGTGTGTGTGCGTGCGTGCGTGTGTGCGTGCGTGTGTGCGTGCGTGCGTTGTGCGTGCGTGCGTGCGTGCGTGCGTGTGTGTGTGTGTATGTGTGGTGAGCATCTGTCATTATTATAAATGACATTATGTATGTATATTATAATACACAAACAATATATTATACATACAAACGATATATTATAAATACAAACGATATATTATAAATACAAACAATATATTATAAATACAAACAATATATTATAAATACAAACAATATATTATAAATACAAACAATATATTATAAATACAAACAATATATTATAAATACAAACAATATATTATATATACAAACAATATATTATATATACAAACAATATATTATATACACAAACAATATATTTAAATACAAACAATATATTATATACACAAACAATATATTATATATACAAACGATATATTATATACACAAACAATATATTTATAAACACAAACAATATATTATATACACAAACAATATATTATAAACACAAACAATATATTATATACACAAACAATATATTATATATACAAAACAATATATTATATACACAAACAATATATTATATACACAAACAATATATTATAAATACATAAACAATATATTATATACACAAACAATATATTATATACACAAACAATATATTATATACACAAACAATATATTATATACACAAACAATATATTATATACACAAACAATATATTATATACACAAACAATATATTATATACACAAACAATATATTATATACACAAACAATATATTATATATCACAACAATATATTATATACACAAACAATATATTATATTTACAAACAATATATTATATACACAAACAATATATTATATACACAAACAATATATTATATACACAAACAATATATTATATATACATAAACATATATTATATATACACAAACAATATATTATATACACAAACAATATATTATATATACAAACAATATATCCATGCTG